TCCCACGGGCCACACAGGAGTAAAGAAAAGGAACAGCCTCTACCTGATCCAGCAGCTACAAGGAGCAATAACTAACTACTTGAATCTGGTCTCCTCTGGGAAAGTAGGGGGGGTGGGGAGAAGGGGGAAAAATAGCAAATAAGACCACAGCTGGGGGCATTCAGCCTCCTCTGCAGCAGGAAGGAATTGGAGTTGGTGGCTTTGTCTTGCCTTGATGGTGACATTTGGTGGAGAGTGAGAATGGGATCATGTTAACTAAAGCATGTTTTTTCACACCCACCTGTAAAGTAAATCTTTGTACCTACAATGGCTCAGCAATCTCAAAGCCAGAGATGGATTCGATACCCTCTGAACTGGCCAGCTATTCAACAAGTGCTGGGGGAAAAACTAAGAGACTCTACAAACTGACTCTGAAAGCAGAGCTATCATAATTACATTGCAAGACACCAGATACTTAAAGTAGATGCACAGAGGGGACCATGACATGAGTTAGTGTGAGTTGGAGTGAGTGCAGTATTGCAGTCTTTGTTTTCCCTGCTCACATATAACCCAGTTTAGAGTAAAGGCCAAGATTCCTGGGCTTTCATACTCTTTTCCCATTCCCAGTATTTCATACTCTATTTCAGCTTAGTGAGAGGCTCCAGCTTCCTCCCTCATCAGAACACCTCGTTATTCTTCTTAAAAACAAGTTTATGAAAACATCTCTATTAAGTCTTAAATAAGAGGCAAAAAAAAAAAAATAAACCTTTTATATTTGAGACCCAACATCCCTTTGTTCTGAGGTCTATCTTTCAAAGCATTTCCTTATATTTGGATAACAGAGTATCACACATGGGATTACAGAGAACTGCCAGAGCTACTCATCTCCTCTCTCCCACGTCTCATGTATGACAGCTCAACTCTACTGGTGTTCTTGCTGACTGGGTTTTCGGTCCTAAGGCCCTGTTCACTTAGTTGCAGGCTTGAATTTCCCTGTAGCTGTCTCAGATGAGCTAATGAAGTCAGCGCAGGCACGAGACATTCTTGACCTAGACACAACTGTATTTGAAATGGATTTTCATGCTTCAGGGCATAAACCAGCTCTTGTTTCATGGGATTCGAACGCACATTCTCCCGTGGACAGGTTACTCCACAGCTGTCCACCACGTGTTTCTTCTGCAGCAGCGGCTGCCTGAGATAGATGGACACGACAAACTAGAAGGACCGTGACCTGACCTCGTAAGGTACGTGCATACTTTGTGTGTGCTGAATGGCTTCTGGACAGGGAACATAGCACGATAACTTTGCTTTTTCCAAAGGGATTGTGGAGTTTTGTGAATGACTGTGAAGGCAGTAAGGCCCTGTCTGTGCTGCAGGCTGCCATTTACAGCTCAGCGAAGTGATACCAAACTGGCACAGGAGCATTTAGCCTTCAGTTTGCTCTGCTGTAAATCACCTTTCATGATGCAAGCCATGGTGAGGGATTTACAGATTCAGAGCAAATTTTTGTAGAAGCTGAAGAATATAATAGTTACTCTATTGTTTTTAGGAAGCCTTAGACCACAAGACATTTCTGTAGATGCAAATTCTATACTAGGGCTGCAAGCAATGGTTATTTTCTATTTGACAGGATTCTGCATTAGTGGAAGGATGAAACACACAGCAGGGTTTCTGGTCTCACTTGTAATTAATCCTGGGAAGAAGCAGCAGGACTTTTCCTGCTGCAAGAGAATTTGACTCTCTTGTCCAGGGGATAATTTACTAAGCTCTCTGGAACAGGTCAAAAATCAGAGTGGGTGAGCAGTCCTTCCAGAATGGATCCTGCATAGAGTGCTGTGCATTGAAATTAATCCAAGTGAAACCTGTTCATCAGTCTCTTCCCAAATCTCTTCTTGTTGTTGACACTCCTCCCTCATAGTCTGTTGTGAGTCTAACCCCACCAGCTCTCATCTTACAGCAGTTGTTTTGGTTTATACACAGGCAGGTGAAGGATGGCGCAGGTCTTTTGAAGAGCAGCACAGGAATTTATCACCTTATGCCAAGGTCTGATGGTGTTCCCATGGACCAGGAGGTAAGGAGCCACGCTCTTCCCTTTGGTGGTAGGGACAGACTATGTCCTTTCATTATTCGAATCATGCCCAACTTTGAAGAGTGAGGGGAAAAGAAGCCCAGCCTCAGTGAAGTCCTGAGCCATGAGACCTGCAAAGCTCTGGAGAGTTGGCCTCAGCATACTGCTGGGCATAGGTGGAAAAGCCATGAGTGTGTGAGGGTTGCAGTGTACACAGCTGGTAATGAATGTAGAATTGTCTTTCATTTGTTTACTTTGGCCTTTTGATCTCCACAACAGGCTGCATTAGTTTTTTCTTTAATTGGTGCATCTATTCCCTTGGCTTTGGATTGTTGCCTTGGAGATGCACAAGAGACCTTTGGAGAACTGCTTATTACAGAGCAGGTGTGCATAACGCTGACCTGGACAAGCCTGCATGAATCACCTGCTGATGGTGTGGGTTGGAGGTGGCTGCATGAGTCACGGAAAGTGAGGGGATCCCACACTGCCCAATCTCCTGAAGGGCAACATTAATGCCTATGGGCGCTTGTCAGTATTGTGCATCAACAGCACACAGTACAAAATGGTTCACTCCTTTTCCTCGTCAGCTGACATGGGCTGTGAAACAGCATGGTGCTGCAGAGTAGGGTGACTGAATTGTGAAAAGCAGCAGCCCAAATCAGAGCCGCTCTTTGGAAATCTGGCTGACCTGTCGCTTCCCTCATGGAGGAGAGTGAGGTTTGTAAGGGCAGGAAGCGAGCTAGAAGAGCTATTTGTATTCGTGCGTGTATGCACATGTGTACTTGTCTGACCGACGGAGAAAGAGAAACCAAACGCACCAGATTGATGCCCTGGCTGCCTGGTGCGAGTGGGAGTTTGCTAGCATCAGGAAGGAGGGTGGGCTCTTCCCTGCGAGCGGCTGTAAGGAGAGAAGTGGAGGGCATTGGCCTGCTGTCCTTAGACAGGCAAAAACACGCTGCAGGAAAGATGAGACGAGACACCAAAGGGGCAGGAGTAGAGTGTAATACTTTCATATCCAGAAAAGGAGGGGATCTGACAACCAGATAATTGTTTTCAGCAGCTCTGGTGCATCTCTTGGTAGCTCAGTGCCTGGCAACTTCAATAGCAGTACAGATCAACTGTAGGAACATCACATATGGTCCAGAAAGCTGTTCATGCATTTCTTCCCTCTGTGTTACACTTGATGACTGTTTGAGATCAGACACATCTCTCATGAGCAGTGATCCAGGTGCCAGGCCTTACGCTGCTCCTGTAACCTGGGGCTGTTCCTCCCAAGGCACTGCCTGTACCACAGAAATGTGCTGCAAAATCCCTCTAAAGCCACCTTCCCTTCATGGGCAAGGACATGCAGTGGGATAGTACATGACTGGTGATCCATGAATAAACTAAAGAGTGCATTTGCAAGAGGCCAGCAATTGCCCAGGTGCTTGTCGCACATATATATTTTGCATATACACACACTCACATACATATATATATATATATATACACACGTCTGTGTGCAGAATTTTTGCAAACTGCTGAACAGTCCCTAAGAAATAAATGCATGCACACCTGCAGTCTGGCCTTTCATCACAAAATACAAAATGTCACTCCAATGGGCACCCATGTGAGTTTGTTACAGGGAAGGAGAATTAAAGGGAGACTGCTCTGTACTTGTGTGCAAGGAGCCCACATCTCCAAAGCTATAAAAGATCCCCTGGGCAAAGAAACTGCACTTCATAGCCACTTCTACCACAATCTCCTTAGAGCCAATTTCTTGCTAGGAACGCTGCTTGCATCTTTTTGACCTGAAGCTCTTTTGGCCCGAGGAGGGACCGTGTTTGCCTTGTGAGGCTGCTTGTATTTCACAGCTGGGTAGAGTTTTTTGGGATAGAAGTGTCTGCCTTGCCCTACTGCATTCATTCCCGTCATTATTAATGAGAGAAAAAATTAAAAGGTGTTTCTGAACTGAAGTCCTTCCAAGCTGCAGTTCTTCTGAGTTGCCTTTGAACCCGCCACCCATGAAACCAGTGATGAGCACCAAGGTGACTTCACTGATTATTTTACAGCCCTGCTCCGACCGGACAGAAATCCCTTTGGCCCTGCCATTGACACACTGCCCTGACCGGGGTCACCACAGCAAGGAGGTGAAAACTTGAGGGAAAAGGCTCCGGTACTCGCAGCAAGGAGGTGAAAACTTGAGGGAAAAGGCTCCGGTACTCGCAGCAAGGAGGTGAAAACTTGAGGGAAAAGGCTCCGGTACTCGCAGCAAGGAGGTGAAAACTTGAGGGAAAAGGCTCCGGTACTCGCAGCATGGAGGTGAAAACTTGAGGAAAAAGGCTCCGGTACTCGCAGCAAGGAGGTGAAAACTTGAGGGAAAAGGCTCCAGTACTCGCAGCAAGGAGGTGAAAACTTGAGGGAAAAGGCTCCGGTACTCGCAGCAAGGAGGTGAAAACTTGAGGGAAAAGGCTCCGGTGCCCCCTTGGAGGTGGCCTCCCCAGCACAGGTGGTTTGAGCTGGGGTGGCTGTAGACGGGTATGAACTCTGCAGCCATGAGCTCGGGGTCTCCTTCAACCCCAGCACGAGCTGACAGGTGTCGGGGTGCGTCTGGGAGCTTTGCTACCTCCCCCTCTCCCCCTCCAAAATACTGCCTTTGTGAGGGGCCGGGCACCCCGCCATGCCCAGCTCCCTCAGCCCACCCTGGTTGCTCTGAGGGAAGATGTCCTTCGGGGCCGGCTGGGCACCTGCTTCAGGCGTGTGGGGTGAAGAGAGACAGGAGGCAGCCGCTATGGCCGCCCCCCCCCCCGCCTCTTTTCCCCTCAGCATCCCGCCCTCCATCTTGGGCCGCCCCTGCGGCGCCGGCGGGGTCCTGCAGGCGGCGCTGTGCGGAGGGCGGTGGCGGCGCGCGGGATTGACAGGCCTGAGGCCGGGGGAGGAGGAGGAGGAGGAGGGGGGGGGGGGGGGGGCGGAGGAGGGGGAGGAGGAGGAGGGAGCGGCAGCGAGAGCCCGTATCGCCCCGCAGCCCGCCGCCGCCGCGCCATCCGCCGCCATCCGCCGCGCCCCGCGCCCATCGCCCCTCCGCACCCGGCTCCCCAGGCACTCCCGGCTCCCCGCCACCACCACAGGTGGGTATCGGGGGCCGGCGGCGGCGGCGGCCGTGGATATTTGGGGCGGTGAGTGGGGCCGGGGGAGGAGGGGGGGGGGGTGTGTTTGGTGGAGGTGGGGGGGGGGGGGGTGCGGGGAAGGAGGAAGGGGAGGGAAAGGGAAGGTGGGACGAGGCAGCCCTAAAATGGAGCCGGAGCCAGCGGGCTGCGGCACCCCGCGGCCCTCCTGGCTCGGCCCGGCGGCGGCGCAGCCCGTCCCGGGGGCCCGGCGGTGGGACTGTGGGGGCGACACCCCCCACCCCCCCCTCATTTCGGGGTGCTGCAGCCGCCTGTTTATTGCGCGACACCCCCCCCCCCCCCCCCCCCCATACACACACCCCCCCGCGGGGCCTGGCCGCGCCGGCTCCATTCCCGTTGAGGGCCGCGGTGAGGCCCGGGGGGGGCTGCCTGGGCTCTGGGCCCGTTGTCCGGGCTCCTGCCCCGGGGCCGGGGGTGCCCTGAGAACGGGTGACACACACACACCCCCCCCCCCCCCCCCCGTCGCCCAGCCCCACGGAGGGGTGCAGCAGGGGCTGGGGGGCTCGGGAAAGCGGGGTTTGGAGGGAGGAGGTGGGCTCCCCCGCCGCAAAGGCAGGTTGTTTTTCTTCATCGTCTGGAGTGTGGCACAAAGATATTTTTGTCGCGTCGTGTGTGTGTGTGTGTGTCTCAGCAAAACAAGGCGGGGGGGGGGGGGTTGCATCCAGAAGGCTCGGTCGGTTTGTTATTGTGCAGGAGCCTACAAAAGGGTTGCTGGGGCCGAAAGCTGAAATGCGGCTTGGGGCGGGGGGTGTGCGGGGCAGCTGCTGAGCGTGGGGGATCAAGGATGGAGTTTGTGCGCTGTGGTGCTGGGCGAGCTTGTTAGGTAGGTTTGAAAAGATGGTTTGTTGTTTTTTGGTTTTTTGTTTTTTTTTTTTTTTTTTGTTTAAGAAGGAGTTTTTCATCTCTGTGGGAGCAGATGTGCTGCAGGTTGGGGAGACGCTACTGCGGGTCCCGGGACACATGTGCTGTGCATCTTCACCGGCGGGGGGGGGGGTTTAGTTTAGTAGTGTTGATTGTGAACTAGGAGGGGTTTTTTTCATTACGAACAACCCCTTGATCCCCAGAGTCAAAGCTGGCAAAAGGGGTTTGAATGAGCTGAGAGTTGTGGGTTTTGTTGGGAAAGTTGTTTTGTTTCTATCTTCTGAACATGCAAAGGGTGAGGTACTCTTGAGTATCAACTCATCAAATATTTGTGTCTTGATGTTACTGATGTTTGGGGTGATAACATATAATAAACGTAAATGTTTAGGACTTAAGTAATTTTGTTTCTTTCTAGGAACAGGTATTAAGTGTAAGCACATTGCAATGTCTACACCATCTGCTGTAGCCTGCTTAGGGGGAAGGCATCACGCCCCTTCCAGGACTGAGTCAAGGTTTACAGTGGAAGTTTTGTTTGTGTTAAGCCTTGTCTTGCAGATGTACATGGGGCCTCCACTGGAATGGGCACTTTCATGATGTATAAACAGCTGGTCCCTGCCTTGGAGAGCCCAAGTTTGGAGAATTGGCTCCTGTCGAGTGTATTTCCCAGATACCAACTGGCAAGGGTGTTACTTTTGGACCTGCTTTTTCCACATTGAGTTGGCACCGGGCTGGTTAAACCCCAGTGTCCTAAAAGTTAGTGCTTTTAAGTTAGTGGCCAGGGACTGGGGAGTAAAGTCACCTGGAGGAGGTAGGGAGGAGGGAGGCTGAGACCATGTTCTGCAAGTGGAATTTAAAGAGAGGATGGTAAGTGATGGTTTCAGGATGATTTCTGTCTGTAAAGTTGAAATAGCTACCTTCAATTTTCCCTCCAAACGGAGTATTATAGATGGGCCTGGGTTTTATCAGGAGCACATCTGGGACCCCTGAGATCTTTGTGGATTCATCATGGGTAATGCTGCTTCTTTCAGGACTGTGGCCTAAGAGGTTCTTCCTAGTTATCAGCATCTATATTGAGGGTGTGATAAGCGATACCTCTCCCATATGACCTCTTTGAAATGGTCTATTTTTCTTTCTACAGTTAAAAAGTTCAGATTAAAAATCGTACTCGGACAAATCACAAATACTGTTCGAGACTGCTGGTTGGTTTGTTTTTTAAATTACATGTTTCTTTGAGCCACTATGCATATGTCTGCTGTTAGATGTATCTTGGTTTTGTGCTCAATTTGGTATGTACATTGACTATAAGTTGATTCCTTTTTTATTAATTAATTTGTTGGTCTGGTCTGCTTTTCTGCATGGCTTGAGTAGACTATATATCACACATTTTAGAGTGATTTCAGCAGTCTTCCCTGGTAAGAAAATACATTTCTACATGACTTGGGCAGATACCTTTCCTTTCCTTTTTTCTTTTTTTTTTAAAAGACGAAAAAAAAAAAAAGTAGTAAACCATGAGTTTTATATAAGTTTCCAGAGTTGTTATTATATAGTGCATTGGTGTCTTGTTTTATTTTTTTTTAAATTCAGAGAATTTTTATTTGGTCTTACAGTGCATTTTTTTATGAACTGTGGGCTTTTTTTTTTTTTCCTTTTTCTGTGTGTGCATGAGAGCTTAAAAGTGAAACTCAGCCAACTGGCTGAAGCTGGAATAGTAAGTAAATAGTCCATACAAATGCTGGAAAGGAGATGCAGGGTTTAAAAGTATTTTAGTTTTAATAAATATGAGTAATGATCCTAAAGAATTTTTATTAAAATGATTTAACTTCATAGTGACATTTCAATAAAGCCTTTTATTAAAGCTTTGTGTAAAACTGAACTTCAAAGGCTAATTTACTTGAGCAGCCTCCTTATAAAAGGAGGGATGGCATTAAGAGTCTGTATTTGTCTTAATGCCTGACACAGTGTGCTGTGGTATCTGAGTGATGGTATAAAGACAAACAGCCCTCAGCCCTTATGTGTGTGGCACTGGTGCTTTTGCATATCACCCAATTCCCGTATTCCTGGACCACATCCTCCTCGTCCTTCAGGGTATCGCATCCGAGATGTGACTGGCAAAAATCAGGACCGTGGTTTAGGCATGTCTGGTGGTGCCTCCAGTTTGCCCAAGCTGTACAGCACAGAGCCGGCTAGATTATCCATTACAGAATTACCTGCTGACTTAAGATTCAAAAGCGTTGGTGGCTTAAGGCCTTCATTGTACTTACCTGAGTAATTTAAAGTATTTAAGGGCGAGCCAGGCTAACTTTAAGTGCTGCTACATCAAAAATAATAGTAAGCCATTTTATTTTTTCTTTTATGATGATAGTCTATACAAAGAAATTTTGCTGTAGTGGCATTTCCACTTGTGTATTTTCATGTCGTAGGTATAGAAGCAATATGAACAGGAGAAACATTGAATACAGGATGGTAACTTTAGGGGAGAGAGGGAAGGAGAGGGTTCATTCCAAGGGCTGGACATCTCTGGTCATCCCTGCTCCTCTTTACTAGATTCCTCTTATTTTGCAACTTGGCCATGAATGTGTATCAGATCTTGCTCTTCAGCTGATCATGCCTTGTAAGTGAATTTTGTTTTTCCTGTGGCACTGACTCATTTTCCTTATAGGTCGATAATCTCACAGCTCCTTATCACTAGTTTGTCATTTGGAACTGAAGAAGTACAACTCTGAGTCTGTCTGGTATCACACAATGAGGTGAAAGCACAGTGAACAGGTAAACGATGGGGAGGTGCAGCTCTCAAGAAATTTAAGTGACTTTCATAACAAAGTTACGACAGTGTGCTCTTGGAGAGCACCTTCTGAAGGGAGTTATGCAGATACGTGCAAAGCCTGTCTGGTTTGGTTAAAGAGTTGTTCTTTGCCACAGGAGGAAAGGATGGGGCTAACACAGGAGATTGTGTTATAATGTTAAGCCTGACTGAAATGTGGTTTGGGCTCATTTCTAGTTAGTAACTTGTACTAGTATTCAGGATGTTCTCTGTATGCATGTGCTTCCTGCACAGAAGTAACTGAGAAGCTGGAGCTTATGAGCTGTTTATTTCAGAGCAAAGCTGTTCAGATGTGTATAGCTGTAAACCCTGATCTTTTGTTTGTTTGTTTTTGGTCTGGGAGCATTGAAACCATAATTGAAGTGGACTGGAGGCTGATCTAGTAGCTCTGCATTGTGCTGTATTTACCTGTGGCATTGGTTGGTTGTGAAGCTGCTTGACTTGCAGTGCTGTGGGGTGTGTGAGGACGGAAGGTGGTTTTGAGGTGTTAAAAGCGTATGTGCAGTTCTGCAGGGGGTCATTGTACTTGCAGGCAAAATTCAGTGTCAGTATTTTGGTTCTGAACACAAATTTTCAGGAAAGTGCTGGTAAACTGGAAGGGGCAAGAGAGCTCACTGTTACATCTTTAAGAGACTATGGGTGTTAACTTGTGCAGGACTGGTGAAAACAATCATACCTTGAGTGAAGGGGAAGAGGTTATGACCAGATTTGAAACATGCAAAAGTGAAAGAGGAGGTGAAGGTGAGCCAGGCTTAAGTGCAAATAAATACAGGAAAAATACCAGGGAGAAAGTTGGACTTAAAAGAAAAGATCGGGAGGGACTCTTTATCAGGGAGTGTAGTGATAGGACGAGGGTAACAGTTTTAAGCTGGAAGAGGGTAGATTTAGATGAGATGTAGGAAAGAAAATCTTTACTGTGAGGGTGGTGAGGCGCTGGCCCCGGGTGCCCAGAGAAGCTGTGGCTGCCCCCTCCCTGGAAGGGTTCAAGGCCAGGTTGGACGGGGCTGGGAGCACCCTTGGCGGGGGGGTTGGATCTGGATAATCTTTAAGGTCCTTTCCAACCCAAACCATTCTGTGATTCTATGATACGATTCTGTGACTTGCTAACAGCACCCTAGGATCTGGCCAGGAGGACTACTCTGTTGGGCTGTGGTACTTCTAATTGAAGCCCTGTGGATATTTGCTGTTGGGAGCATCCTCAGCAGCCTTTGACTTTCGGGTGAGTAGCACTTAAGAGGAGTAAACTATGTAGTATTTGCAGAGTTATCATCCTGATGGAAAAGATTTGGTGGAGAAATCCTTCCTGGAT